GCGCACGGGGGGCCGCGCGGCGCTGCAGACCCAGCCTCCCGCCGCCGCCGCCGCCGCCGCCTCGGCGCTTGCAGAACCCAGAAGTGAACAGCAGGCGACCCGGAAGGTTTGCGCGCGGCTCCGCACCAAGCCGGAGCCCGAGCCGGAGCCCGGAGCCGGAGCCCCAGCCCGGCCCTGCAAGGGCCGCCGGGCGCGGGGCTGCGGCCGCGTCCCGGAGCCGCCGCCAGCACAGCCAGGTCCGTGCGGGCCCGGGGCGCGCGGGGAGCGGGCCCGGCGGCGGCGGGCGCCCGCCCGAGCGCCCGCCCGCGGGAAAGTTGCGCCGAGTTTCGGGCGGGGGCGCAGGCCGGGCGCGGGCGCTGTCAGCGCGGGCCGGGGCGCTCCGAGGGCCCGGGGCTGCCTGCGCCTCGGGCCCGGCCCGGAGCAGCAGCGGCGGTGGCGGTGGCGGTGGCGGCGGCGGCGGCGGCGGCGGCGGCGGCGGCGCGCGGGTAGGAAGTGTCTCCGGCGGCGTGTCTGGGTCTGCTCTCCGAGTGTGTGCGTGTGCGTGTGTGTGTGTCTGTGTGCGTGTGTGTGTGTGTGTGTGTGTCTGTGTGTCTGTGTGTTTTCTTAAGCCGGGCTATTCAAACCTGCTGCAATTCTCCGGTAAACAATGATTCATGGGGCTTAATGCAAATAAACGGATTGCAAACGGCGCGGTTCGCGCACTTTGCAGCCGGCCCGGTGGAGCGGCCAGTGCCGGATTTCTCCCCTTTTTTGCAGATCTGCAGAATATGGCGTCCCTGTCCTGTTTTAAAAATAAGCCAGGCTGCCATTTTTGTTTTTCTTTTGTCTGAAAATTTTAATAAAACTGTCTGAGAATGTGGGAGAGGCGGCTGGAAGCAGAGGGGGCACCCGAAGGGTTGGCTTTTTTTCCTTTTCTTTGGCGAGAGCCGCGAGCCTTTCGGGGAGGTGAGACACAATGCAATTGCACTTTAAAGAATAAAAAAAAAAAGAAGCCGCTGGGCGATTTGGGGGGGAGGGCTGGGAATTTAAAGTTAACTCCGAAAGTTTTCTTTTCTTTTTTTTTTTTAAGCTCTTTTTTTTTCTTTTTTTTTTTTTGGAAGGCGGTGAAATGCCGCGAAAGGATCTCGGGGCCCGTTTCTCCCCCCAGCCAGCCGCCTTTGCAGGATTTTTGGGAAAAAGTTAACTGCCGGTTTCCTCAGAGCTGCGGGGGGCACGTGGAGGGTTGGCGATGGGGACTTGGGGGGGACCAGGAAATGTCTTTTGGAAAAGGCTCTATAAAAATGGCATTGTAAGGAACTAGATCCTCAGATTTGGGGGAGAGGGCTGGCAGTAGGGGCTCTGAGTGGGCCCACGGTTTCCAGCGCAGACCCCTGGCGTGAGGAAATAATCCTGCTCTCCCCTGCCCTGCCCTGGAGCAGTGTGTGTGTGGGGAGGAGGGGGATGTCTCCTTTATGGGTGGCCGGGGGGGGGGGGGGGGGGGGGGGGCTCCCTTGTAGGCGGGAATCATGCCCTGGGCGCTGGAGTGGCTTCTGGAGCCCTCCGGCAAGTGTGTGTGTTTGGCGGTTGGCAGTTGGAGAGCCCCTTCTTTGATCTGGTGGGCCTCCTGGCCTCTGGAGGTGGCATCTGGTGGCAGATGCCCCTGGGTGGTGGGCTTTTGTCAGGGTGTAGACCAGGGGCCCCAGTGGGTCTTGACTGAGGGGAGGGGGAAGAGAGGTTGCCTGGTTGGCAGGGAGGCACTCCTTCGCTAGTGTGAGCCTCTCCCTGGGGGTGCCCTTCTACTCTTTTCTGTTATTCCTGCCCGCACCCTGAAGCCTCCTCTGTTGGAGGCAGTTTGGACTTGGGTGAAGTTACTTAAGTATCTTGCTGGACAGGTCAGAGCCTGCTGGCTTTGGAGGCAGCAGGAGGGTCTAAGACCAGGCCCAAAGGTCTGGCGCTGTCCAAGGCACCAGGCAGGTTGGGCCTGGTCTTTACCCCTTTGGGAAAGTTTGTCCTGGGAGGACCCTGAGCCCTTCTAGCCCCTGTCCCAGCCTCTCCTGGAGGGGAGACCCCTCTAGTCTCACTCCTGATTTGTATCCTGGCTCCACAGGACAGTGTGAGCTTCCTGAGAGCAGAGTCAGGGATCGAAGGCTGGGGTTTAGGGGTTCAGGGTTGCAGAACTTGGCATGCCTGGGCCAGAGCGTACCAAGCTAGGTATTTTTCAGATGGAGAAACTGAGGTCCAGAGAGGGGCAGTGATTTGCCCAAAGTCGCACTGCCGGTTAGAAGGAGAGCTAGGAGAGGGACCCCGATGTTCAGGCTCCCACTTCTGGGCTCTCTCCACTGTTCTCTGTGGAGGCCCTGACTCCTGGAAGAGTCAATCTGGACAAAACTGGAATGGGACAGCATGTCCCCCTTCACTGCTCCCCCCCCCCCCGCCAGCATTATCCTTCCTTGTGAATGGAACTTTGCAGGTTGCACAGTGGAGTGCATGGTTTTTTATCACATTAGGCTCCCCCAGAAACTTGCTTGGGGTGAAATTGTTGAGGTGGGGATATTTAACCCCATTTCAAAATTTAGGAAACTGAGATTTGGAGAGGTTGAGCAGTGGCAGAGGAGGACTTGAACACAAGCTTCCAAACTCCTTGTCCAGGCCTTTTTCTAGGTGGGCTTGGTGCTTGTAGATAGGGCTTTTCCCCACCTTCTGGTGTTTAGTCTCTCAAGTTCTTCTGCTGACCCAAGGACTGTGTAAATATCTAGAGGCCCCAACCCTACAGAATGTCAGAACTGAAAAGGCCCTGAGAGGTCATCTGGGCTCAGAGAGGGGAAGCCACTGGCTTGAAGTCACCCAGCAGTTTGGGTCTCAGCTAGGACCAGAGCCCTGGGCTCCTGTCTCCCTTCCTCTACAAGAAACTCAGAGGGAGAGTGACCCGCTCCACCCTCCGCTAAGCTCCACTGGGCCCTGGGCGGCAGTGATTGCTGCTGCTGGTGATTAGTGATGGGTAGTGGGTGCTACAGTAGCCGGCAGCCCACAGAGACGGGTTTGTCCCGGGGGGTTGGGGTATGGAGGCGAGATGGCCCCAGGTGGAGAGGAAGCTGGTGTGTGGGTGACCTGTGGACTGGGTCTGAAGCCAGCCTGGCCCATTCTTCCCTGGGCAGACACTTCCTCGCCCTGCCTCTCTGTAAAGCAGAGTCTGTCCTCCCTCCCTCCCTCCCTCCCTCCCTCCCTCCCTCCCTCCCTCCCTCCCGTCCCTCCCGTCCCTCCTTCCTTCCTTCCTTCCTTCCCTCCTTCCTTCCTTCCTTCCTTCCTTCCTTCCTTCCTTCCTTCCTTCCTTCCTTCCTTCCTTCCTTCTTCCTTCCTTCCTTCCTTCCTTCCGTCCTTCCTTCCTTCCTTCCTTCCTTCCTTCCTTCCTCCCTTCCTCCCTTCCTCCCTTCCTCCCTTCCTCCCTTCCTCCCT